AGAAACGCCCATGCGATGTTGCTGGTACTGCTGGCGGCCACTCACTCACTAAGCAAGGTCTGACACTGCCTCTGCTTGAGGCGGTGCCGCCCAGAGAGGGTCCACTTTCCCGCTGGGCATGGATTAAGTGGGCACCTACTAACCCCCGAGGCTGCCTCCACGGCAGAAGAAAGCCGCAGTGCACACCCCTCTGTGCCCATCCCTGCAGAGGGGAGGGGCTCTCTGTTCTCACTTGAACTGTAACTGAACTGGCCCTGCCTGCCCTCCAAGGGGGCCTGGTTTGTCCAAAGTAGCCTCTCCTGACATCCCCCTCGGGGTTGGGGCAAAGTCAGAGGGTTTCCTGTGGACTCCCCCATCCCACCCCAGGAGCCAGTCCTGTTCGGAACAACCATCATGGAGAACATCCGCTTTGGGAAGCTGGGTGCCTCTGATGAAGAGGTCTACGCAGCTGCCCGGGAAGCCAACGCACACGAGTTCATCACCAGCTTCCCCGACGGCTACAACACCGTCGTCGGTGAGTGCCAAGTGCCTGCTGGGTCTGCAGGGCCCATGGTGTGAGGCTGGGGCCGAGGGGACAGGAATAGGCAGTGCATCGGGGAAGATAGGCCAGAACTGCGGCCTGTGGGGCCAGGAGTCCAGGCACAAGCAGGCTGCACAGACAGACAGACAGGGAGTGCAGTCACCGTCCGGGCCGCGTAACGATGTCCTGGTCAACAACGGACCACGCACAGGACCGTGGTGCCCGCACAGCCTGGCGTGTTGTGGGCTGCACAACAAAATCACCAATGACGCATTTCTCAGAATGTTTTTTTTTTTAATTCTCATTTGAAGATTTTTTCCATTGATTTTTAGGGAGAGTGGAAGAGAGAGGGAAAGACAGAGAGAAACATCGATGTGAGAAACACATCAATTGGTTGCCTCCTGCATGAGCCCAGACCAGAGCCCGGGCCGGGGAGGACCCTGCAACCAAGGTATGTGCCCTCGGCCAGAATTGAACCCGGGACCATTCAGTCTGCAGGTCAACACCCTATCCACTGAGCTAAACCGGCTGGGGCTCTCAGAATGTATTTAATCGTTGAGTGATGTGTAACTGTACAGGACCCGCCAGGGACACAGCGATTGGGTGTTAGGGCCTCTGCGTTCTGAGACCCGGAAGTGGGTGTGATCTCATAGTCGTTCATCCTCTGGCTCCTGTGCCGTCCCTGTCCTGCTCTCTGACTTAATGGAGTGTCCTTTCTGACTTACCCAGGAGAGGACTGGCCCTGTAGGGCGTCCGAGTGGCAGCTTGCAGCGTCGCTCATCTTGGAGGTCTTCTCTCCAGCCTCTGGGGCATGTTATCTATCGTCCAGTCTCTGGGCTCTTGGCTAATGTCCCCGCATGTCTCTGGGCACAGGCACACCAGGTTCTGCGCTCTCTTCTTGAACTTTGGCCTCAGTCTAGCTGAACTTCCACCTCCCGAGGGGTGTCCCTGTCTGTAGCCATCTTCATGTCCCGTGTTACTGACCAGCTGGGTTACTCACTGCTCAGATTCCACAGCCTCTTGGGTGGCCCTGTCGTACCTCGCACCCAGCACGCTCCAGGCTTCTCTGAGGCTTCAGCCTGCCCCTCACTGCTGTGACTGCCGTCACCCGGAGGCTCTTTGGCTCCAAGGCTGCCACCCCTGCAGTTCTCCCCAAATGTGGCCTCCCCAGAATGCCTGGGTGGCGGGCTTCGAATCCCACTGTGCTGTCACACCCCCAGGAGCCTATATCAGGTCTTGGATGTCCCCACAGCAGCAGAGACCCATGAGGCCAGGGAAGGCGGCTAGAACCTCAGATCCCATCCTGGCGCTGACACCCGGAGCCCTACCGTGTGCACAACTCACCTTGAACGAGTGTGCGTGCATTTGCACAGGGATGTGGGAGCCGATGCAGAGGCAGGGCGAACACGCACAGGCCAAGGGGGGACCCCAAGGGGCCAGATGGGAAGTTCCCAACAGACCCAGTGTCCCTTTGCAGGACCTCCCCCAGGTGCAGAGCTGACTACTTCAGGCCCCTGCCCTGTCCCCTTCCTCCCCAGGTGAACGGGGCACAACCCTGTCTGGTGGCCAGAAGCAGCGCCTGGCCATCGCCCGCGCCCTCATCAAGCAGCCAGCAGTGCTGATCCTGGACGAGGCAACTAGCGCTCTGGATGCAGAGTCCGAGCGGGTAGTGCAGGAGGCCCTGGACCGAGCCAGCACTGGCCGCACTGTGCTGGTCATCGCCCACCGGCTGAGCACCGTACGAGGGGCCCACCACATCGTCGTCATGGCCCAGGGCTGTGTCTGTGAGGTTAGCGGGTGCCCGCGGGGCGGGGCGGGGCGGGGGGTTGTTGGGAAGCTTGAGCCATAGACACACTGGAGCAGTGGCTCAGCCGAGCTGTGTGAGGGTATGGCCGGGTCCTGGGGGCTTGGGGCTATCTTCTACAAGCAGCACCCCATGTGGATTCAGAAATTTCTGCCCTTTGGTAAGCGCTGGCCTCTCAGGTCCCCAGAGTCTTCCTCTGTCCCCTGGGGGCGGGAGAGCTCCCAGGTCACAGGGAAGTGTAGTGTGCCTGGGGCTGAGGTGCAGAAGAGGCAGCCCCAGGGACCAGCCAGGAGCTGCACCCAGAGGCAGGGTCCGCAGCAAGGCTTGGAGGCTGCGTGGGCCTGTTCAAGCCAAAGCTGAAGGGTTTGCAGGGATGCAGGCCCTGAGCTGGGGGTCTTTGGGCTGTGAGGGGGCCTGGAGGACAGCAGGGAGTGCTGCTTACAAATACAGATGTGCCAGTGGCATCTGTAACCACTTGTGCTTTGGTTTCATAGTGTCCCCAGAAGGGACGCTGGCTTAGGTGACAGTGAGCCCGATGGCCAATATGAAGCCAGCTTTGTAGGGCCCTGAACTCTGTGTTGGGTGCCCATCTGCCCCTCCTTCCTCTCCAGGAGGGGACCCATGAGGAGCTCCTGAAGAAAGGTGGCCTCTATGCCGAGCTCATCAGGAGACAGGCCCTGGGTGCCCCGTCCCCTGAGGCACCCAGAGGCCCCAGGAACCACCACCCAAAGTCCTGAGAGCAGCCCTCTGCAGTCTGGTCACCGCCAAGCATTAGTGCCCAGGGCTGAGGACTGAGCTCCCCAGAGGGCCGGGCTGAGCTGTGGGCTGCCCCCCTGCCCACAATAAACCCAGGACAAGCCCTGGGCTGGAAGGAAGTTGGAACTGCTCCCATCGCCTCCCCCACCTACCTCCTGGCTGCCTTCCTCCTGCCAGAGCCACCGAGTCATTGGGCTGCACAGGGAAGGAGGCAGAGTCCTGGGCCCATGGTCTGCTCTCTACCTCCCCCCAGACCCTCCTCCCAGGAGCTCTGCCAGCCTCCCTCCTACCCGACAGCCTAAATTTGTCCAGACCCCAGCTCTAAGGAGACTACATTCAGGGTTGGGGTGGGTAGAGAATTCACCTGGGGTTCTCCCCCACACCCATGCCAGACCTCAGTTTCCTAGGCTGATCCCAACACCCCTTCGTCCCCACTGCCTCTCTGGGCCCTGAAAGAAGGAACCCCCACCTTGGGTCAACCCCTCAAACCCACAATCCCCATCCTCAGAACAATTTCTCTTCTTCACACAGTCCTTGTTTCTAGATTTCACCCTCCCTTGTCCAAACAGGACGGATGCCTGATAGGCCCTCGGGGAGGGAGAGGAGGGGTGGGCACTGTGGTCCAGCCTGGCTGTCTCACCACTGCCCCCCCACCCCGAGTCTGTAACAAGGTGAGATTGTAGACAGCCCCCCTCTACATGAGGACACCAGCCTGAAGGGGACAGAGCAGGAGCCAATACACCCCAAATTACAGCCACAGCCACAGGAGCACATAGTACCAACAGTCCCCAAACCACAAGGGAGGGGTTAATGCTAAGCCCCTTGGGCAGACAAAATACAAAACCAGTTAGAGGTCAGGCCAGGGGAAGCCGGCAGCCCCAAAGCTTGAATGAGGACCTGGGAGTAGCCTCGGTTTCCCACCAGCCCTCAGGGACTCCCCTCCTGCCTTGGTTCTGCCCACGTCACCTGTCAGCGGGCAACCTTCCCCTTTCACAGCCACGTCGGCTGAGGTACCCACTGAGCCCTGCTCCCTAGGTCGGGGAGAGGGATTGCCTGTGCCAGACCTCCGAGGCTGACCAAACATGTTAGGTTTCTCCTGTGGCACAGAGGGTGAGGCATGGTTGGGGGGCAGCAGCAATTGCAGAAGCAGAGCTCAGGTGTGAGCGCAGGAGCTGGGTGAGGAACTCCATAGCCTCTTCTGTGTGGGTTAGGACCAGAAACCACCCAAAATACCACGGCCACAGCCGCCCTGCTTTGCTGCCCCACTCCCTGACTGATGGAGAAATCGCATCCCAGAGCACCCCCGCCCAGGAAGCAGAGCCCAGGGCTGACTTCTGGTTGCTTTGCCAACAAAGCACCTAGTGCTGCCAAGAGCAGGCCTTAAGCCCCCTCCCCCCAGTCCACACTGGCCCCTCCCTCAGGAGAGCCAGCTGGGCCAGTTCCTGCTACTCCAGCCCTGGCCTCGGTCCTCTGACACCAGATTCTGGGTCTCCTTAGCCCTTCACGGTGGCCTCTCCAAATCCTGCTCCCACGCCCCGCTCAGCTAGGAAAGTAGTGAGGTCCACGTGTGCCTTCAGCTGGAAGGCCATGAGGTTGGCGCCGTGTAGCCTGAACCTGGACCTTTGCTCCTTTGGCTATTCAACATGGATCCTGAGCCTGGCGGTGCTTAATTTTGACAGTTTGTTTTAAGAGTTTCAATGGTAAAGTACTTAAAACTCACAATGCTGCAGCCTCCGAAGGTGGTCAGATCTGGGCAATAAACCGTATTACCCACTTCTTCTGTCCAAAATGTGTTCATTGAGCACCTCTCGTGCCCATGATGGGGTTGACAGCCCCTGCCCATCAGACAGGCAACTGCAGTGCCCTGTGACCATGTTGTGAACTATGTTTCTTCTACTCACAGCCAAGAGCCCACCAACATGAACCCAGTGGCCTCAAATGCTCTGTGGAGAGAGATGAAGTAGAAACAGATTTCAGTGAGTTAACGGAGATAAAAACCTGCTTTCTCTCAGGCCCCCAGTGCAGCATCTGTTTCCCCATTCCCCATCCACCGGGCTGGCTCCTGGGGCCCTCAGCTTGGGTCCCCAAGACACCCTGATCCATCAGGCCAGCAGGCAGTGGCGTCACAGGCCATGCTCTGCTCTCTGGAGGTGCCTGCTCCAGCTGCTGGGAGATGCCCCACTGCCCCACAGGCTCTGGATCCTCTGACACTTGTTCAGTCAGATGTGCCAGCTCCGTGGCCCAGGGCCCTCCCGCCAGCTCACAAAAAAGCAGGCACACTCCCGTGTTACTGCTGGGAGCACAAAATGGTGTGACTCCTACACCAGGAATTTTGTGGCATCAAATGACCCATGAAGTTGCCTCTTGACCCAGCACTTCTGTTTCTGGGAGTTAGTGTTGCTGAGCACACTGTAATGGAAGACTGGAAACCCCCGGGATTCATCAGGGACGCGGTGACATCAACAAGGGTGTGTCCACATAATGGAAGGGTATGCAGCCATTTAAAAATGGGGAAGTTTTCCAGGTACGGATATCACGTGGTCCCCAGAATATGTTAAGTAAAAAAAGATGTGAAATCATAGAACACCATGTCATACCTGGGAACTGGACTATGTTACCTGGGAGTGTGGCAGGTGAGCCCACTTTCATTGTGATAGAGACCAACCTCCCAGGCAGGAGGGCATGAGGCGGGGGCGGGGGCGGGGGCAGGAAGAGGGTCACTCAAGAGACACCCCCAGGACATGGGACCTGCAGAGGCCTGGGCCATCTGGTGCAGGCTGGAACACTGGGGGCTCAGAAGGAGGAGATGGCCAATGCCAAACGCCCCACCACCTTCCAGCCTGGTCAAGAGCCAACTCCCCTCTTTGCAAAATGAACACCCCCCCCCCCGTCCCCCCCATGATGAGGTTAGTGGGGAGGGAGGAGGGAGGAGGGAGGAGCCAGGCCAAGGGCCAGTGACTGACTCTCAGCCCCACACACAGGGACTGCAGCTGGGAAACCAGAGGCCCCAAGGGCACCCCCAGCCCCGATTATCTCTGGGTTCTCCTCAAGCCCAACCAGGGTTGCTGTGGTTTCCCGCTGGCGCCTCTGGCCTCAACAAACCCCCGCCCCCCATGCTGCACTAATGGCTCAGCCTGGGGCTCCAGGGACCTCCCCACCCCCCAGGCTGCTCTGCCAGCCCCCATGCCCCTCACTGCTGAAACCCAATCCTCTGCGGCAGCTCTGGCTCAGCAGAGCAGCAGACCAGCCCTGCTCGCCACGCAGGCTGCACCCTACCTGCTCAGCGGCGGAGCCCCCAGCCCAGCCCCGGCCCGTGGAGCCACAGCCTGTTCCCGGACAAGGCCAGCTGGACCCTTCAGGTCACTGCATCCAACCCAGCCAGGCCAGTGCCTCCCCACCTCCCTTTCAGGTGTGGCTCCTCTCCTTGCCTCCCACTGCACTGTCCCCTGCCTGGCCAGCCCCTCCCAGACCTCAGGCTGACCCTCTCCTGCTCCTAAGCCTCTGTAGCCTGGCCACCAACCCCAGCCCTCTCTGTTCCCTCACCTCAGCGGGGGCCATGAAGCCCCCCTCAGGGCCGGAGGAGGCCCGGCGGCAGGCCTCGGACATCAGTGTGTTCGCCAGCAGCTGCACGCTACATGGGCTGAGCCATGTCTTTGGTCAAGGAAGCCTGACCCCGCGCCGGGGGCTGTGGGCCGTGGCCATGCTCCTGTCGATGGCTGCCTTCCTCTACCAGGTGGCAGAGAGGGTGCGCTACTATGGGGAGTTTCATCACGAGACGGCCCTGGACGAGCGCGAAAGCCACCAGCTCACCTTCCCGGCCATCACCCTGTGCAACATCAACCCGCTGCGCCGCTCACGTCTCACGCCCAATGACCTGCACTGGGCCGGGCCCTCGCTGCTAGGCCTGGAGCCCTCTGAGCACGCCGCCTTCCTGCGCGCGCTGGGCCAGCCCCCCACACCACCTGGCTTCATGCCCAGCCCCACCTTCGACATGGCCCGACTCTACACCCGGGCTGGGCACACGCTGGAGGACATGCTGCTGGACTGTCGCTACCGCGGCCGACCCTGCGGGCCCGAGAACTTCACTGCGGTGAGCTGGCCACCCACCCTGTCCCACCGAGACCCAGCAGTGCCCAAGGCTGGCCATCCCAGTCTTCGCAGCCCAGGTTCCCCCAAAGCCAGGGATCTTAGCACCTGTGCCCTGGGACCCTGTCCTTCCCAGCCAGGATGCAGGCCCCTACCTGACCAATACCCACCTTTCTGTTGAGACCAGCCCTGTCACTCAGCTGGACTAGATGTGCCAGGTCACACCTTCCAGAGTGGGCACTCACCCAGGCTGGCTCTGGGCTCAGGTCTGGGCTATGGAAACCCCACTACTGGGGGTGGAGGGATACAAGTGGGGCCGGACCATTTCAGGGCAGAAGACTCCTCTGTCTGCAAGGGAGGGGCTGGTTTCCCTCTGCTTCACATTCTGCCAGTCCTGGAGGGGAGCAACTGGGACCCACTGTTTTTTACCCCAGCTTCCAAAGAAACACTTGCCCTGTGGACTGGTGCCCTCGGCTGCGGATAGAAGGGGTGAGAAGGTGGCGTGATGGGAGCCCATGAGGGTCCAACTACATGCGCCTGTATGATGGGGGGCATTGAGATGTGGGCCTCCATGTTCAAAGAAGAAATCCAAACAGAGGATGGGGAAGGGAGCGGTCCCATGGCCCTGGGCTTGCCTGGCTGCCCCTTGCTCCCCAGTGAGGTCTGCACCCGTCTGCTACCCCCAGATCTTTACCAGGATGGGTCAGTGCTACACCTTCAACTCCGGTGCGGATGGGGCAGAGCTTCTCACCACCCCCAAGGGCGGAGCGGGCAATGGGCTGGAGATCATGCTGGATGTGCAGCAGGACGAGTACCTGCCCGTGTGGAAGGACATGGGTAGGGGATCCCGCGTGTGAGGCTAGGGGGTGGCCACCGGTGGGGTGCAAAAGGCTCTGGGAAGGAGAGGAGGTGCTGGGAAGGGACCTGAAGCATGTCCTTCCTTTATGAATAGGGAGCGGGCGGGGTTGGCCCATCACAGGCCTGGGGAGAGGGGCTGCAGCCAGGGCCTCCAGGAACCCAGGCCTCAGGTCCCCTCCCCCCTCACAGAGGAGACCCCCTTTGAGGTGGGCATCCGAGTGCAGATCCACACCCAGGAGGAGCCACCTAGCATCGACCAGCTGGGCTTTGGGGCAGCCCCTGGCTACCAGGTTTTTGTGTCTTGCCAGCAGCAGCAAGTATCCTTGCCTGGGTGAAGCCCTCCTTCCCCCACCAAGGCTCCCACCCCCTCCTTCAGCCCACACCACTCAGACCCCAAACCTGCAGCTCTTCAGACCTGTCCCAGGGCCTCAACCCCGCAGTGACCACTCACATTCTCCCTGGGTGCCCGCTTCTCCCCAAGCCTCCTTAACCCTCTACAGCTGAGCTTCCTGCCACCACCCTGGGGCGACTGCAGCTCCGCATCCCTAGACCCCGACTTTGAGCCAGAACCCGCTGGTCCCCTGGGTCCCCCCAGCCCCAGCCCAGGCCCCAGCCCTCCCTATAGTCTAATGGGGTGTCGCCTGGCCTGCGAAACCCGCTATGTGGCTCGGAAGTGCGGCTGCCGAATGATGCACATGCCTGGTACGGAGTGGGGGAGGGGACACGGGGCCGCGGGGCGGGGCCGGGCCTGGGAGGAGCCCTGAGCTGTCACACACGCCCTCCCATCTGGTCCCCCAGGTAGCGCACCGGTGTGCAGCCCGCAGCAGTACAAGGACTGCGCCAACCCGACGCTGGGTAAGGGGCCAGCTCCCTGCATCCCGCCCCCGCCGCGCTGGGCCCGGGACCCCCACCCCACAGGGCAGGCAGCCCTGACCAGATGACTGTGGCCCGCAGACGCCATGCTGCGGAAGGACTCGTGCGTGTGCCCCAACCCGTGCGCCATCACGCGTTACGCCAAGGAGCTCTCTATGGTGCGGATGCCCAGCCGCGCTGCTGCCCGCTACCTGGCCCGGAAATACAACCGCAGCGAGGCCTACATCGCGTGAGCCCGGCGGGGCGGGGCGGGCGCCTTCCCCCGGGCCAACCAGGCCTTCCTGTGCCCACCCACCAGCCTGCATGTCAGCACGGGGCTCTGGACTAGCCGCCTAACGTTTCTGACGCTGTGTCCTCTGCAAACTGGGGTGACGATGTCCCTCCTAGATACCAGGGAACGCGCACCAGGGGGTGTCCAGTGAGCATTCCCGCCCCCTTTACTCCAGGGAGAACGTACTGGTGCTGGACATCTTCTTTGAGGCCCTCAACTACGAGACAGTGGAGCAGAAGAAGGCCTATGAGGTGTCAGAGCTGCTAGGTGTGTGCAGGGTGCCCTGGGGAGGTGTGCACAGAGCAGGTGGCTGTGAGCCGACAATGACCCCATCTCCACAGGCGACATTGGGGGCCAGATGGGGCTGTTCATCGGGGCCAGCCTGCTCACCATCCTCGAGATCCTGGACTACCTCTGCGAGGTGGGCCTGGGCCCAGCTCTGGGAGAGGGAAGGAAGCCCTGGACCCACCCGGGAGGTGGGGGGAAGAGGAGGAGGTGTGGGCTGACCACCTCCCCACTGCTTGCCCCCAGGTGTTCCTAGACAGGGTCCTGGGATACTTCTGGAACCGGAAGCGCTCCCAAAGGCCCTCCAGCACCCATCTGGTAACAGCCCCCTCTTCCTCCCCTGCCACCTCCACCCGGATGCTCTGCCCCGTCCCCTTGAAGCCCGGCGGGGAGGGGCATGCAGGACTTGGCTGGTCCCTGGGTGGGAGGAGCCTTCCCCTCCCTCTGACCCTCTTCCCTTCTCCCACAGCTTTCAGGAAGGGCTTGGGCAGCCATGGAAATCAAGTGCCCAATCTCAGTTTAGGCTCCAGGTAACACAAAATGCCACCCTAAGGTCAAGGGAGATGGGGCAGGTCCAGTCCAGAGGGTGGCGTTCAGGTCCAGGAGGGCAGGAGCAGGGCAGGGCATTGGTCCGAGGCCTCCTGTCCCAGCGCTGTGGTCTGTGTCTCAGCAGGCCTTCCACCCCTCCCTGTGCCGTCACCAGGACTCTTTCCGCCTCCCACCGCACCTGCTACCTCGTCACACGGCTCTAGACCTGTGTCTGCGTCTTCAGGGCCGAGCCTCAACATCCTGGACACGCTCTGCCTGCACGCTCTGCTCTTTATTTGTCACCTTCATCCCAAATAAAGTTCTAGTGCATCAGCCTGAGCTATTCCTCTTACGGGCAGACCAGTCAGGCCAAGGTCAGCTCTACTCAGTCAGGCACAAGACTTCTGCCAGCCATCATCTAAGGACATGGTGTCTGAAACGTGGGTGGCTTCCCAATTAGCCTGCAAATGTCTCTCTGGGAGAGAAGAGTAATAAGGGGGCACCAGTCATTTGTACCTCAGCGGGAATGAGCTTCAGTGTGACATCTCAGAGAGAATGGAGCCCAAGGCCAGGTGTGCAGGCAGACAGGAGTCAGTGGCAGGACAATCCCATTGGGGGACTATAGGGAAGTGGGGAGCAGGCAGAGGGAATCTCCCACTTCCAAGAACACAAGCTGTTGTCCTGCCTTGGATCATGACTATTTTTCTCACATATGGGATCAGGCTCAGCATGCTGTCTCCATGGGAAGAGCTCTTGCTTCCCCGGCCCCCCTTCAACAGCAGAGGCCCCAGCTTGAGAGGGTGAGGGGGCCGGCCTCACTTCTGCTAGTAAGGACACGCCCAGCCACAGCCCACTTTCCCTGCAACCCCAAATATGAGAAAACTGACAAGTAGGCAGGGAGAGGTGTTCCTGAGCTAACTACATCTTTGAGTCTCTCCTGTCCCAGCCTGCAGGCCAAGGTATGGGGGGGGGGGATGAAGAGGGAAGGGACAGGGCAGGCACCCATGGGATATGGAGAACCACAAGGAAACGCCCGGCCCTTTTCTCCTGTTCCAGTGGAAGCTCTCAGACACTGGCTGCCTACGCCCTTAGTCACGGGCCCTCCTGGGCCGAGAAAGTGGTGTGCACAAGCACATAAGCACGTGTGGGCACAGCACTGCCCTGCGCCCAGCCACTGGGTTGAGAGTCATAGCCCCCTGCCCCCAGCCCTCAGCCCTCAGCCCCCAGCCCAGGACCACGTACAGCGCACAGTGGGACAGGACAGGGTTGCATGTGGTGGTGAAGCGGGGTAGAAACCCCAACCCAAGCCCACCCTCTCAGAGCCACCCACCACCACATTAGCCAGACTGTGGGAAAGGAGCCAATTTATGAAATTAAATAAAGTCTGTAGAGGGAGAGAGAACCCAGGCGAGGGCGCCTCCCCCCTCGTGGGCCCAGCACAGCTGGAGCTCAGCACACTGTGCGTCCTTGCTTTCCTCCCCTCCCGGGAGGGGGCTGAAAACAGGCCAGGCCCCAGCCTGGCGGCCCAGGGTCCCAGAGCCTAGGGGGGGCAGAAGTCGGAGAAGTAGGGGTGCTGCAGAGCCTCCTCTGCCGAGATGCGCTGGATGGGGTTGCACTTCAGGAGGTTCTGGAGGCAAAGAAGGAGGCGTGGCAGGGTCAGGCAGGGCCAGCTGCCCAGAGCCCCACCCTCCCCCAGTTCCCCTGCTCTCAGTCACCTGCAGCAGGTCCCTGCCTGTGGCATTGAGCTTGGGTACGACGTTCACCAGGGATGTTGTGGCCGGGTACATCGGGTAGGGCTGTAGGAGACAGACAGAGTCAGACCAGAGGTAAGGGGCATGGAGGCTGCTAGGGCTGAGGAATAAGGACCACCGCTGAACCATGACCCCCACCCCCCGTAACACCTTATAGTCCGGCAGCTTGGTCATGGCGGGCCATTGCTCCTCAGTCGGTGTCCCCAGCAGTGTGTCCAGGGAGTCAAGGATCACGCTGTGCAACAGGGCAGGGTGCGAGGCTCTTCTCCCAGGAAGGATTCTTCAGACTCACCCCTGCCCGCCCCGCTTTATCCACCAGCTCACGACAAAAGCAGTCCCAGCACATGGGATTCTCATTTTCAGTCCCACCTGCATGGTGTTTACCGTGGGCCAGGCGCTACAGATACACACGTCTTCTGCTGGGACGGGAACCCTGATGTCTGTGTACTGAGGACCGGCCAGCCTCCCCCGACTCCCACAGACCCTCCTGCTGATCCTTTTGGCTCCTTGGTCCTAAGGAGTCACCTTGCAGCTGGAGGATCATTCTCTTGGCTTCTTCCCCCAGGGATACCTTCTTGTCTACATGTCACACTCTTTCCAGCTGGCTGCATGCAGCTGCACTGTGACAACCAGGGGTGTTCCCCACCCTCTGCCCTCCATCCCTGACCTTCAGAAGCCCACAGCCCCTCCCATGCTGACCCAGCCCATCGCCCAAGGCTCCTTACTCCCCTTCCAGAGGGCTCGAGGCGAAGGGGAATGGAAGGATATCGGAAGATCCTCTTCAACTGGTCATCTACATCGTTGCCGGGGAAGAGAGGCCTCCCTGCATTGGCCAGCTCTGGGAGAAAGAGGACAGGGTGAGAGGAGCGGACACATGAAGAAACCCTCACTCCCGAGACTCCCCAGCCCCAATGGCCCTGCTCCTTGCCCCAGAGGGGACCCTCCAAACCCTATCTGTCAGCTCAAAGGGGAGAGAAAGTGCCTCTGCAGACCCCCAGCACGTCACCTGCAAAAATGCAGCCGGCTGACCACATGTCAATGGACGTGGAGTACAGCTTGGCCCCAAAGAGGACATCCGGTGGGCGGTACCACAGCGTGACCACCTGGAAAAGACCCCACCCACAGGGACCCCCCACTTAGAGGGCTGGGGGGAGGAGGCTCAGATAGGAGAGAGTAATGTTTTGGGTCCTAGAGTAGGAGCTGAGAGAGCTGCTCACTGGGGAAGCCCTCCCTCAACCCAATATCCCACCCACCCGCTCACCTCAGCGGAGTAACAGCGAACAGGGATCCCAAAGGCTCGAGCCAACCCGAAATCAGCCAATTTCAGCTCCCCATTCTGAGGGAGATGGGAGGAACAGTGTCAAGGCTAGCTCCGTGGTCCCACCTTCTAGCCCGGCTTCCTCATCGTTCAGACATTGGCTCCAGTCTCCCCCATCTCCCCCCTTCTCCCCAAGAGGTACCCTGTTTATGAGCAGATTCTGAGGCTTCAGGTCCCTGTGCAGCACGTTTCGGCTATGACAAAATCCCAGGCCTTTTAGCAGCTGGAAGAGGAATGACTGGGGGAGGAGCAGGGAAGAGGGCGTCAGACCCTCTGGATGGGAAGCTGTGCCCAACTGCCCTCTTCACCCTCTGCTTTGCTTCGTGCCCACTGGACTTTTAGCACCAAGTTGAGCGACACACCACTCATTTTTTATCAAGGGTTTATTCTGTATTATGCTGGATATTAGAAATGAACAATGAATGGGGGGACTTACAGCCATGTGCACCTTCCTACCTTCCCGGCCCACACTATTCTCCCTTCCCTGGCCTCATTCGAACACCAACATCATAACAGTCAACATATACATATATTGTGCTGTATTATTATTCAGCATTTGTTTCCCTTGGAATCTGAGACAAGGCATTTGGTCGTGGGCCTAGAACAGTGCCTGGCGCACAGCAAAACATTCAGTAAGTATTTGTTGAACGAATAATGTCTCTCTTTGAATCTCATTTTTTCATCTCTCAAGTGTAAATCATGTCACTGAGACCATTACTGTCGGGTCAGAAATCATGGGAAAATGCTCCTGGAGAGTAAACACAGGATTCTCTCAGTCCCTGACGCCCAGAGCATCTCTGTTCAGGGCCTGAGCTTGGTGCTCAAAGGCAGGTACACTGAACGTATACTCGAACCCCAGCCTCCACGAGACCCCAGAACACCAGTCCCCTCACCTTCACAATTTCAGGATCTAGATCACCATTGCAGCTGTCAAAATATTTCTTAAGGTCCTAAAAAGGGATGGAGTGGGGGAATGGGACAGAGTTTAACCTCAGTCTGGGCCCCTATATCCTCCCAAGGCTACTGTCCCCCAAGTCCCACTTTCACCTGGTCACAGAACTCAAAAACCAAAGTCAACTTCTTGTCGCTATGCAGGACATCATGAAGCCTAGGGAGAAGGGAGGGCTTAGCAGGCAGGTCCACAAGGATGCTCCTAACATCCCACTAGCAGCCCAGTCCATCGCTGAAGCCCCCACCTCCACCGGATGGCCACACAGGCAAGGAGGATCCTTCGGGCCTACACACCTGACAATGTTCTTGTGCTTCAGCTCTTTGAGTAGGCAGATTTCCCGAAGGGCAGAACTCGGCACTCCCTACACATGGGAGGGGGCAGGGTGGGCCACAGTCACATCCCACCCAGCCTAGGCCCTCAATCACCCCCCCCTCTGCCCCCCCGCCCAGATGCCCCAGTCCTACCTCATCATCGTCATCCAGCCTCACCCGTTTCAGGGCCACGATCTCATGAGTCTCCCGGTTTTTGGCCTTGAACACTGTTCCGTAGGTGCCTAGTGGAAGGAGGTTGGGGTGAGGGAAAGAATGGGGCATCCTTCCCCACCCCAAGAAGTCCTTCCCAAGAGGGGAGGTATCATGGGAGTGTGTTCTGATGCCTGGAGGAATAAGAGGAGAATCAGGGTGAAAGCCGGGCGTGGCGGAGCTTTGTGAGTGGGGACGTGGCACAGAGGGGCCTGCAGAGGCTCCAAGAGGTCCACAGCAGGGAGAGGCTGTGACTGCCAGGTAGGTCTATAATGAAGGCAGTGCTTTGAGAGGGGCCGGAAATAGTGAGCAGGGGTCTGGGAGAGGAATGAAGGCTGGCAGGAATGTTGAGGTTGGAGGTCTGCTGCCAGAACTGAGGCTGGGGGGAAGGGGGTTGTGCAAGTGGTGCTGAGGGTAGGAAATGCAGGAAGTGCTGAGGTCCGGAGGTCGGGCCTACAGGGAGTGCTAAGTTTGGGAGGGGGGCGTCTGCAGGAAATGCTAACAGGAGGATTGTTGTCTGCACGGAGTGTGGAGCTCGAGGCCAGGGCTGCAGCCGGTGCTGAGGTCGGAGTCTGTGGGCATTGCTGATGGTAGAGGAGCCAGAGATGCAAGGAATGCAGAAGATCTTGCAAGAACATCTCGTGGTCCTATTACCTTCCCCAATCTTCTCCAGTTTCTCGTATTTCTGCATCGCAGCCGCTTCGAGGACCCTTGTGGGCCCTCCGTTTTAATATTCTGGCCCCGGCAATGCAGAGGAGGCGGCACCCCAGCCTCCAGCCCGGCCCCGC